TTTATGTTATGTTTTCGTCACGTCTTCTTCTGTGAGTTTATCGGCTGGTTGCAAAGTAGAAATCTGATTACTGTCTGACTCATGTAGACCCGGAGTTTCCCTATTTTCTGATTACTCAAGATCATGTAAACACGTCGATCGGATTACTGACAAAATCTGATTTTCTGCAGTTATCGGATTTAAAAGTGCACGTAAACGCACTCAATGAGAGGACCTGACCTGCTACAGAGGACATGCCAGCCCCTTCTCCACATCAGGGTCTGGACATGCCTCAGCTTTTCACTTGCCTGATGCCTGATCCAGGCTTAAAGAGCAACACCAATGACCTTTTAACACTCTCTTCTCCACTATAATACACAAATCTGGGTTAATAGCCACATGGTGTCATAGCATTATCATGAGCAGTCACCCCCTGAAAGACACTGTCCAAAAAAACATAGCATCAGCTATGCTAGCATTCAGCTATTTTATCAATAGAAATAATAGCTAGCTAGCCAGGTATAGTCATGAGCTAAAACAACAAAACCTGGAACATAACCAGCATTAGCCAGTTAGCTAAAATTACATGAGGAATCTACCTATTTTTTGTTAAAATCTATATTTATATTATAATTGTATCTATATATTGATAAGCTAAAAGAACAACGCTGCCACCTGAACAGAATTAGCATGTTAGCTACTGCTGCTTAACATCATGACCCTTAAGCTGATGTCACAAGAAATTACTTCAATGTAACACTGCAGAACTTTTCCTGTCTATGGTTATATGGTCAATTTTTTTTCTTTTGTTGCATTCTTTGTTGCATCTTTCATTGCAGTAACCCTTTGCAGCATACATTATCCCATAGCGTTAGCTAGGCTAGCACTAATGTTGGCGATGTTATCAATTGCATGGTAGAAATAATAGCTAACTAGCTAGCCAGCTACATAACTACCCTGGCAGAAAAAACAGAATAGACCAGAGTAGCTGACCACCAGGAAAACCAACATATGTTGTGTTTTGAATGCTAATATGCTGGTCATGGTCGTGCTGGGTGACCAGCTAAACCGGCAGTAGACAAGCATAAACCAGCACAGTACAGTTTATGCGCTGTTGTCCTGTTTTTATAAGCAGGGTAGCATTAGCAAGTTAACCCTACCTTCTGAAACACACATAGCTAATAACTGCGCCACAGCGACTAAAAGAACAAAACTGCCTTAGCATGTTAGCTAACATTACCTAATGAAAATATGATGTTTATTCTAATGTCAAGGCTTAAATGTACCACTGCCACAGAACTTACTTTCAGAGATAAGCATGTGAGAAGACAATATTGCAGCGTCTCCCCACCAAGTTGTTCGGCCACGGCACGGACACAAGCCAGGTGTGGCCATGCGGAACGGCGACGCGGAACGCTGCAATGCAGTGGTGAGAGAGACTTTATTCTTGTACATTCGTTGCTGTTATTAAGTTCAAGAGGTGAATGTTGGGTGTGCTGTGTTGGGCTGGGCTGTGGGGACGCTAGGTGGGTCTGCGTGTCTACCATGGACTAGAGTGGTGTGGCTTTTGGTGACTTGCCTGCTTCCCCGCTGTGTTAGTTAGCAGCGAGTCTGAAGCATTATGTGTCCCGCGTCTTCTTCTCTGTTGATGCCACATTTTCTTATCTACCCTCATAAACGAGCAAACACACAATGAAGTACCAAACCGTGGTCTTGTTTGCCATTTCAAAAGACCCCTCTACAGCCCCACAGTTCTCAGCACGTTGGACGGGGCTAAGATCAAGTAGGGAATCACAGGCAGGCCAGCTGGGAGTCTCTCACCTCTTCAGGAATGAAGCCTAAAGCACCAGCTGACCACGCATCGGCCTGACTGTCGAAAAAACAACTCTTGATACAGAGTGAGCTCACATCCTGCAGCCTAGACCCCCTGTTTGAACTGGGCATGCCTTCACATTGAACGCATTCGCACAGTGACAGCCCATCTACACACACGGCTATCACCACAGAAACAATGAGCGCCAAACAGCTGAGCGTGGCGATCCTGTTTCAAAAGTGGAGCTTTATTCATGCTGACGAGCGTTTAATCCCTAACACTAGCCGTCTCCCGCACACACACACACACACACACACACACACACACAAAGACTCAACGCACACAGCAGAAACTGCACACAAGGATCAAACACAAAAACAGGCCGTCCTGCTTCTAACTATTCTCTTCAATCTACAATTCACTGACTGATCTCAGACCTGTGTCTGCTTTTGTGTTTACTGTCTGTAACAGGAAACAAACATCTTCCGTATAATCAAACGTGAAAAACTTCACATAATCGTACGAACATCAACACATAGCTTCCCCTTCTGTTTACTCGGAAACAGTTGGATCACTTGGCAAAGACGCTAACATGTTAAAATGTGCGTTAAAACCTGTCTGTCTGCTCTTTCAGTTATGCCCATGACTGTTAAACAGGGTTTTCCACTTGTACAACCGCGTTTGAACCTCAGAATCAAACAAAAGAAACTGAAAGCCTCAAGGAGGAGACAAGGAGCACATCAGGTCTGGTCTGTAAGTGGTGCCCCATTGCGGCTTATAACAGAACTTGCCCCCTTTGGCCTGCTATGAAGCTGGAAACAACACATTACACCTTCATGTTCTATACACTCTCAAACATAAGTGGCAGTTTCTCAGACCCAGATTAAGCCTAAACCTAGACTTAAAATAATGTCCAGTGGTGATTCACCATGTTGGGAAAACTGGCCCAAAGATTCCCAAATGGCTCTTGTGTATATATATATATATATATATATATATATATATATATATATATATATATATATATATATATATATATATATATATATATAAAACCTCATCTGTGCATCTGTACATGCAGCTGTATGTGAGAGGATGAGGAGTTTTGCTCAAAGGTATGACACCTGGCCACTGTCTGAAAGCACGGCTACCCCTTCACAGTTAGCTTAATGACCATACAACTACAGAGCTCACTACAGAGCTTTGCTGCTACAGACAAAATACATTTCTAAATATCTGCCTCTTCTTCTTCAGAGATGATGATCTAATGGATGAAAAAAGCACATCATTTTAGTTTGGGCCTTCTGGTCCTTACAGACGTGCTATACTCATGAGTAGTCGGGAATGATATGGAATGATCATAAAACCAATTTCAAATGGATTTTACATGAATGAAAGTACTATTCAGATGGGAAAAGGAGGAAACTGGGAACTACAATTATCACAGGTGTTTCTCAGTGATTTTAGTCCAGTCTGGGTCCACCATGTCAGTAGTTTTTACAAACTGCAAGCTCACACGTGAGTAAAGACTGCAGTGGCTTTACTAACCCCAGATTATATTATTCGCAGGTGAGGTGCCACATCTGTTATTATATTGTTTTTATAGTATTATAGTTTGTATGGAGACTCTCAGAATCATGCAGATATGTTGTCCTACTTCAAATGTCCAACTCTGAATATTGAAAATGTAAAATGACAGCAAAGTTGGATTTTATGCAGACTATTGGTTGTATGTTCTCAAGCTAATCACAGTGATAGACACAGTAAGGAAACACAGTTAGTTTTACTACTGTAGGCTCTAGAGATTAGCCAGAGACGCATCAAGCAAACACCAGTAATAGACCGTATGTGTACCAGCTGTGTCTGTGTTTACAATACTCAAACCTACTCCCTCCCCTACTGTTCCATCCTGCATTCCCGCTGTAGGCTTTTATATGTGTCTGTAAGAAGGAGCAACCACACACACACACACACACACACACACACACACACACACACACACACACAGCCTAGACATTCTCTAAAAAGGCAGGTACAGTACACTTAATGCAGAGCACACACAACCTCCCCTTTACACAAGCACATATAAATGTTTATAACCTTCAATCTTTTCCCTTTACTTACTAATTAGACTTCCCCTACACCATCACTGAACCTGGGCCTTAAAGTTTCAGCAAAACCTTTGAGGTGTGGGAGCTGTTTATGTACAAATGTTGTATATAACACTTCATGTATTATTAAATTTATGCATATTAAGATATAATACATGCAAGATATTACAGTGGCACACTGGAGAAATCTGAATTTACTTAACTGAAATAGGGCTGGGCAATATGACAACATAGATCATTATCGTGATAATCATTATCGTGGCCAACTGCATGTTTCACTACTAAGAGAGCATAATTAACCCTGTTTTTTTAGTGCATTGCTGAATAAGGACGTATTTGTAGTTTTTGATAGCATTGTTAAATGTACTAAATAAAACTAAGCATCTACTAATGCACTAAAAAACCTAAATATGATACAAAATGTATGATACATATGTCTTGCAGTATCGTCATATATTTTTGCAATATATTTTTACCAACCCCTAACATCAACAGCACAATTTGTCTTTTAGTATACTTATTTTTAACAGTCGAATCAAGTAAATTTAACTTTTTTCACCGTGGACAGTGGAGCAGCTTGACCAAGACCCTGGCCAGAATGTAGAATAACTGGTTCTACTGAAACTTTTGCTAAAACTTTAAAATGTTTGCTTTTTCCACGCACAGCGCAGCGCCTTAAACTACATAAACCTGTCAAAGCATATCATTTTCCATTCAGGAACAGCTCTGTAAGATTCACATTTTATTCATAAATATGTTTATTTTCAATTCAATTGTCAATTATTTTCAAATATTCAGTCATTTTTCCTTATCCATCCTCATCCAACCAGCATAAAATGACCTAAATGATGTTTACTCTGAATGGGTATCTTTTTTTTCTAAATAAATCACTGAAAATGACTTGGGTTACTTTCCAGTTAGTAAAGATTTGTGTGGGTTTTAAAGAGTAACTTAGAAGTAAAGTAATAAGCAGCAATATTATTTTTTTCCACAATAATAAGTAGAATAATCCTACTATGTCTTGAAATAAGTGATTAGTAACTTATAATTACTTTTTTTTGAGTACTTACACCAACACTGACACACACACTGCTTACCCTGCTCTCAGTTGGCGCTCTCTGGGTGGCTCTGCTGGGTCGGCCACGTGTGGCGTCAGGTGTGTGTGTTTGGAAGTGCTGGGTGTGTGTGTTGGGTGCATCACTCCGTAACACGGCAACCCAGATACAGCGCGGCTCAGGAGCGCTGCAGTCCACCCCTACAGCATCCCGAAAACTCCACTCGGGAACACATACGCGTGGGCACGCTACAGGCATCGCCATGGGCAACCCACTCGCTGCCCACATCACACACACAACCACACACTAGGGGTTTAAGTCCCTGACGGTTTGATTCAATTACGATTCTTTTAAAGCAATTCAAAGCATCATGACTAAAACTTCACCACGATTCGATTCGAATTTGATTCAATTCTTTTAGTATGATTCAGAATTATTTTAAAAAATACATTGAATATTCAATTGCCAGTGGAAGAACTATTCATACAGACAATATAAACAATGCAGCTAACTTTTCTGTGGGCATTTGAAAATAGCTAGAGGATTCATTTCTGGCCAAAAAATGAGTGCATACTTTACTGAATATTATTATATTGGATTAGAATCAATTCTAACGTTCCAAAACCAATTCTAATATCCCAAAATCAGCACCTTCCGATCGATGCATTTTTTACACCCCTAACCCACACATGCCACTCACGCACACCGGCACCACTTCCACCAGGACGATCTTGCTGAAGCGTCAGTTACGGAGTTATAGAGCTCAATTCACACTGCAAGTATGTATTCCGTGAAGAGTGGAGAAGGAAAAAGATTAAAATGGGAAAAAAAGTCAGACAGTCAAGCTAAATCTGTATCTCCCACTTTCTGAGCCAAAACCATCACTGGAAAAAGGGAAAAAATTCCAAACATTCCCAAATATTCCACAATTGCCGTTTTTCCTTGACTGGAGTCTCTCAGCATTCCAGAGTTAATCCGTACGACTCCGGCGAGCTCCGAACCGAACGTCAGCACACACACCAGACACAGGAACACATGCGCAACACACGTAGACCGGCAGACTGGGGTGCTCCGACTGCAGCAGCACATCCAGAGATGAAAGCAAATCCTGGCTGCAGACCACAGACTCCTGGGTGGCAGATATGCAGCACGTGGCAGCAGAGTAAATCCAAAAAGCCGGCTGGAAAAGCTCATTCAGAGAGACACGGACTGACTCTGACGAACCGCTGGACTAACTGAACAATGACAGCATCACAAACGCACTGACCATTTAACCACCAGCCCCCTCCTCTCTGCCTCTCTCTCTCTCTCTCTCTCTCTCTCTCTATGCCTCTCATTCACTTTCTTTCTCTCCTTTTTTTCTCTGTCTCTCCTCCTCTCTGGTGACCCAAGTTGCTCTCCCACCTCTGTCTCTTTCTCTCCCTTTCTTGCTTCTTTTCTTCCCTCTTTCTTTCCTTCTTTTCTTTCCCTTTTTTCCTTCTGTTCTTTCTCTCCCTCTGCTTCTCTTTCTTTCCTTCTTTTCTCTCTCTCTTTTTCTCTCTGACTTTGTCTTTTCTTCCTTGCTTTCCCTCTTTTCTTTCACCTTCTTTATTTCTTTCTTTTCTTTTTTAGTCTCTCTATCTCTCTGACTTTCTTTCTCTTTCCTTCTTTTCTCTATCCCTCTATGTTCTTTTTCTCTCTCTACCTGACAACTTTTTTCTTTCTTTCTTTCTTTTCACTCTTTCACCTTCTTTCTTTCCTTCTTCTCTGTCTCTCTGTCTTTCATTCTTTCCTTCTTTTCTCTCTCTCTGTCTCTCTCTCCTCTTTGACTGTCTTCTCTTCCTTTTCCTCCTGTAGAAAAACTCTACAGTCCTTCTTGTTCCTCTCTCTCTCTTTCTCTCTGACACACTGAGTCACTCTATTAACTTCCCAGTGTCACTGAATCAGTGTTAACCCCCCTCCACACCTCCCCTTCTCTCCTCTCAGGTTTCTCTCTCTCTCTCTGTGTAATCATTCCATTCCTTCTATAATCATCCCTCAGCACTAGGGATGGGCATGTTAACCATTGTTGTGATTTAAATAATAAAATGTGCATTACATTGTAACAATATATATTACAGTGTGCACTGTGCATCATATATTATATACACATATAATCTGTGTGTGATTTAATTAACTGTAAACCTAGAGGACAATAACTTCATAAGCTGTGCATAACTTACACTGTTCAAATCTGTTATCTTTTTGAAATATTTCAACATATAAATATGCCTATAGATGTGGCCATTTCACATCCAGCATTCCCTACTGTTCTATGTTACATGCTCAGCCAAAAATGTGGAAACTTACAAGACAAGCCTTACTTAAACTCCTAATTAAGCGATTGAAAACATATAAAGTGGCACTTGTAACTTGAAATTTTTGACCTCCAACTAGAAAAAATCTAAGAAAACGACCCTAAATGGGAATTTCTACTCAGAAAGTCATTGCTCGCAATGTCAATATTAATGAAATACTACTTTTCAAATTATAAATGAGATGCTTTAGATCAATAACTATACAGACACCGTTCTTAGACATATATAATACTGACCATAAAGCCGTTTTGAGAGGACTAATACATCATGAAGGTTTATCAATCATATCACTAGCATTACTGGCTAGCTTGTTGCTAACAAAACTCGTTTTACGTAGGCATCCATGGTTTTCACCACTTTGTAGCTCAAATTCATGGAGGTAAAAAAATATAATTTTAAAATCAAAAACTGATTAAAATAAGTACTTGATTTCAAACTCTGGAGTAAAATGTAGGACCACAAACTTGACTCCCGCAAACAAAACAATGTTTCATTATTGTTCTCCAAATAAAATAAAGGAGCAAACATGTAAGTAAGCAGCAACGCACACTATTTACCTGCAAATCTAAGAGGAGCAGAATCTAAAAGCTGCTAATTTAAGCTCCTAATTGTGAAGAAACAGAGCACAGACAGAACTGCAGTCCAACAGAGAAGTATCCCAGCAGCAACCGGCCATATTTATGTGTGTACGTGTGTGAGTGTGCACCCTTGTGTATGAGTGTGTGAATACAGACAGCATGGCACAACTGCCTTCCATACACTATAAACCTCCCCTGAGAAACCAAACCCAGTTACAAACACAATAGATGAAATCAATCTTTCTCTTTATTCTCCTTCAGTTTCTATCCCAGCACGCTACTCAGTCTGAAAAGAAAAGAGGGGAAAATGAAGAGAAGCTACTAAATAAGCAAACAGAGGAGCAGCCGCAGACAGAAAAAGAGAAGAGAGAAAAAAACAGAGAGAAAGAAACGAGAGGCAGAAAAAAAAGAGGGGAAAATTGCCACATTGTACCAGTCTAACACCTCACCGCAGCTGGTCGCTCACTCTACTGAACAACAGCTGCTGTAGAACACACACAGTCTCACAAACACACACACAGTCTCACTGACACACACACACACACACACACACACAGTCTCACTGACACACACACACACACACACACACAGTCTCACCAACACACACACACACACACACACAGTCTTACTGACACACACACACACACACACACACAGACTCACACATACACACACACACACACTCACCAACACACACACACAGTCTCACCAACACACACACACACACAATCTCACTGACACACATACGCACACACACACACACAGACAGACACAGTCTCTCTCTCTCACACACACACACACACACACACACACACACACACAAACTACAGACTGCACAATCACTTTTTTCTTTTCTGAAACTGATACTGAAAGGTTGAGTATCGGCCCATACAGAGCTGGTAGATATTTTTTTGGATTTATAATGAATAATTAATGAAACTACTAAGCTTTAAAACAGCACTGTGCAAAAAGTACAAACCCCTGATTTATTTAATTTTCAGTCAACAACTGTTCATCTCTGGGCTGTTAACATTGTTCACATCTGTGTTAATCAGCTGATGTGGCCTTACCCTCCTACGACTACAGAGTTTTTCTACTCTTTATGCAACACCATGGGATCCTTTACCCACCCTGACCTGAAGAGCCGGTGGGCTTCTTTGCTTTTAACTGCTTTGAGAGACTCTCCAGAATAGGGAGAGGGGATGTGTATGAGATAAATATACTGCTGTTGTCAGAACAAAACCTTGTATCTCCGAAATGGTAACTTTACAGGAGAAGGAAAAAACCTGCTCTACTTTTAATGTAAGTCAATGGAACCAGAATTTTTTACAAGCAATTTTGGGTCATTTCTGTTGGCCCATTTATCATGAAATTTACACAATGTAAAGGACAACGGCTACTTTCAAATTATGTCAAAAACTGAAAATGGAGATGTGAGGTTTTGTTCCGACAGCAGCAATATTTTTATCAGGAAAACACTAATTTGGTAGCTTTCCGCCAGTTTAAGTGGGATAAGGATCTCAGTCTATTTTATCGACTTTGTCGAGGTCATGTTTTTTCTCTTCCAAAGTAACGTGAGTAATTTTAGCCATCTTTTACCTCTAGCTACGTTCGTGTGGAGCTGCAAAGCCAGAAATTCAGTCCCAAATATGGTGGCCACAACAGAAAAATCATGTGACTGAAACCCTAGGACAGAGAAAATGGGGCTGCTAACAAGCATGCGATACCATCAAAACTGTCCCCATCAGATAAACAGCACTTAAGGCTTTCATCTTTGAGAGAGAGGAGAGAATCAAGCTCCACTCTTGCTTCAGATCTGAACAAATCCAAATGTGTTTCTTTCCATCCTTCCACTGTGAGAACTAAGAGTTAAGTCCTATTCGGACAGGATTAGTTTTACATGGTGGATAAGTTGGATAATGTAATTTTTTATCAGTGATTTTTTACGGTGTTTCTCTGTGATTTTAATCCTGTCTGAATCCACAATGTCAGTCATTTTTATGGACTGCGTGCTCCCTCTTCAGTAAAGATTCAGTGCCTTTTACCTTAGGAGCAGCAGAAATAACCTCAGGTTATATTAATCTTGTCTGAACAGACATGTAGGTGAAAATGCTATGATATCCTTTGGGAAAGAGGTTTTTTAAATATGGAAATGTTATGTCATGTTGCTGTCCTGTCTAACGTGAGCAACTCAGTAACAAATTACAAAGAAAAGTTGCAGTGAACTTGAGTGACTGCTGTGAATTCCTAAGCTAATGAAAAAGCTAATGACACAGTGCATTCAATTAAGACAGCACAACAGACGTTTAGAATAAACAGAAAAACTGCTAAAATTAAAAGTTTAATGGTTTAAAGAGGGAGACCATTTTGATTGGTCCTTTTAGATGAAGCAAACACTCAATGGACTCTCAGTAACATGTCAAAAACATAAGAGGGTTAGGATTAGGTTTTGGCTTGAGGTTAAGTTTAGGGTTAGGATTAGGGGCTGGGTTAGGGTTAGGGTTAGGTTTTGGGTAAGGCTGGGTAAGGTTAAGTCAGGGGTCGGCAACCCAATTATGAAGAAGAGCCATTCTGTCCTTCTAACAAAAATCAAACCACCTTGGGAGCCACAACATTGTATGTCCATTTTACCATCTTGGCTGTAAGTATGTCTCAGTATGTGCTAATGTACTAGTGTAGGCTAAAAATATAATATAAACAAAAACACAGACTTACTTTGCTCTGCTTTAAGCTTTAGCTCAGCTATAGCCGCTTTTCTGCATCTCTAACAGGAAAATTTTCCTCCAAAGTAGAATAGTTTCTTGTAAAATGTTTTTCAAAGTGCCTGAGGTGCGGGTATGTAACTGCTGCACAATTTAAGGTGGAATGGGACAATTCAAACAAGAAGCTGGCGAATGAGAATCTGACTTCAGCTTTGCGACTTTTAGTGTTTGACAGTTTCTCGTTGCAGATTAAATGTATCAGGAAACCAGCTGGACTGATTCTAAATGCAAATAAGTCCATTCGTCTCCAAATTATCAATGTTCATCTTAGATCTTTCTCTATGCTGTTTCGTTAGCTACTAGCTAGGTGAGCTTGTTGTTTGTGTTGCTGTGACCAGCAGTCTGTGCGCCAATCTTCAGCGTTACAGGGTGAATTATCAGATGTAGGCTACATTAACTCCAGAGTTTAAGACCATTTATTGTTAAAACTGTGTTGAACGATCAGCAGAGAATATTTTACTGCAAAGGAGGATTATTTTATTTTTACCTGAAAATCTAATTCTGCTGTGGAGCCGCAACAGGGCAGTAAAAGAGCCACATGTTGCCGACCCCTGGGTTAGGTTTTGCATAATGGAAGTAACATAGTAACAATAAATCTACTTAACGTAAGTAATGTGTCTTCAAGATATTTACTTCAATGTATTCAGATGCTTCACTACTGCTATGAAACTGATATGTTGTTAATGTGTTACTGATAATCTGTTAAGAGTTTATTAATCATCTACAAA